GAGAAGACAGAAAAAAGAAGAACAAGGTGAAATGGACCCAACTGACCTTCGATTGTTTTTGGAAGGTTCAAATGACCCAATGGTAAAATGCGCCTAAATAACCCACTTTAATATTTAATTAAATTAAAATAGAAGTGAAATTACAGCAGTATCCCTTAATTAAAAAAAGAAGATAGCTCCTTTCTCTTCTCAGTTTTTTTTCTTTCAATTGTCTTCTTCTTTCCTCTTCTTCTCCCTTTGATCTTTCTTCTCCATTTTATTTGTGTTCATTGAAATTAAAATGGGTATAAATGTTGGACTTGAATCCCACCGAGATTGAATAAATCTCGCTCCTTGAATTTTTCTTTTTATTTGGGTTCGTTAAAATTAAATGATAATAAATCTTGAACCGATATTCATGCAATTTCACCAAGTTTGCATGAACCTCTCGATTTTTTATTTTGTTTTTTGAAATTAAATGATCATAAATCTCGAGCTTTAATATTAGCAAGATTTCATGAATCTTGTTCGGGATTCAAAAATCGAGTAAGCTTTGTTGGAGGCTTTAGAATTGTGTAACACAAGTTGGGCAAAAACTTGGGCGAGTTTGTACCCGAGGTTTCATGCTCATTCCAACATTAGGTTGTTGTATTAATTTTTGAAAAAAAAATAAAGAGTTTCGATTTTTAGCGGGTTCTGAATATTTTCGAAAAAAACAAAGAGGATTTGGAGATTTGAAAAGGGATGTCACAATTTTGGTTCTTGATGTTAATTTTTGAAAAAGAATGAAAAGTGATTTCGATTTGCGAAGTAGATGGAGATTTTCTTTCTTTTTTTTTAATAAGAATCCGGCCGAATTTTGCCTGAGAAATAAAGTAGTAGTTAAAATTTGAGACTAACTCGCTCGAGTTCGGAGATAACTCGCCCGAAACGATGGGTACACAGTCGAGTTTCCACGAGTGGAGTTGTTTTTAGGCCGAGATTAAAATTTAATATATATATATATATATATAATATTTGATTCCTCATTTCAAATGTTCTTTGTTGCTTGTTGCCTACAACCATGTTTGTTATAGTCTTGTGCCCTTGTTCAAAACCTACTATAAGCATAATTTATTTTTAGTATGAAATCGCTGTCCATGATCGCGATTTCACTGAAGTCGCAGCCCAAATGAGGAAGCACCTTCATTTACTGAAGTAGATTTACAAGAAGTCATAAATTTTTTTTTGGATATTGTGTGAACTACAGACGTATGTGACAAGCTAAACGAAAAGCATTAATAAAAGTTTTTGGAGATTGGGAAAAATCGTATGAAGAGCTCCCATACTGGTTGAATGCTTTGGTGCATTACAATGCCGACACTCGAGTACTCTGGACTTGATACCTTCGAATAAACCTGGAAATCTTATTTTTGGGTAAGTGTTTTGGTCATTTGGTCCTGCAATTGAAGGATTTAAACATTGTAGACCATTAATCCAGATTGATGGTACACATCTGTATGGCAAGTATAAGGAAAAATTACTTATTGTCACCTAAAGTGATGCAAATGGACATATATTCCCTATTGCTTTTGCTATTGTGGAAGAGAAAAATACTTCTAGTTGGTTGTGGTTTTTGTGTGCCTTCCGAAATTTGGTTACCGAACGAGATGAAATTTGTCTAATTTCTGATCGACATAGAGGTATTTTGGCGGCTGTGAAAAATAAGGAAAATGGTTGGAGTGAACCGAGAGCACATCATCGATTTTGTCTCCGTCATATGGCTAGCAATTTCAACAAAAAATATAATTCAAAGCCCTTAAAAGAGTTGGTGTATCGTGCTGGGTGTCAACACCAAAAGCGTAAATTTGAAAGATATATGAGGGAGTTACAACAATTGAATCCATATTATACTGATTTTTTCACTCATATAAACATTGAAAATGGACACAAGCACATGATCAAGGGTTTCGATATGGATGGATCACAACAAATCTAGCAGAGTGTATTAATAGTGTTTTCAAGGGAGCTAGAATGTTGTCAATTACTGCATTGGTGAAGTTTACGTTTTTTAAGACTATTACTTATTTCCAGAAACGTAGAGATGATATCAGAAAAGTAGTGGATCGGGATGAAAAGTAAACAAAATATGCTTTAAATAAATTGAGGAGGTGGGAGAAAAGAGTGGCGACACATTCAGTAACTTCTATTGATCGAGAGACACAAACTTTTCAAATCGAAACAGGAATAGATATGTTCTCTCCTTACAAAGGCCAACATACTCAAGTCGTTTGCTTGAAAGACAATACATGTACTTGTAACAAGTGGCAATCTTTCAAGATACCGTGTTCTTATGTAATTGCAGTCTGCAATCATGTTCACTTGTCATACTTGTCTTATGTCGAGAAGTATTACGAATTGTCACGGTACCAACTTTGTTATGCATATCGATTCTACCCTATACAACATAGGGACTATTGGTCGGAAGTGAAGTTTAATGTTATTCATCCGAACCCAAATTTGTTGAGGGAACATGGACGCCCAAAAACTTCTCTCATTCACAATGAGATGGATTGACGGGAGACGGGTACGAAAGTTCATTGTGGAATATGCAAAAAATAAGGACATAACAAACGTACATGTCCAACTCACAACTCTAACGCTTCATCTTCGAGACAAATGAATGATTAAGGTGGAATTTTTTAATTATTATTTTTAACATATTGTTACAAATCTATTAATATTGAAATCGATTCCATATTTTCTATGTACAGGTTGAAGCATATGCGGTGATATCGTTCTCAATTAGTGTGAGATTGTTGCTTTGTAATAGCCTAAATAAACATATCCTAAGTCTAGGTGATTCATCCAAATATAACTCTTATATTGGATTTAAACCTACGATGTCTAGGTGATAAACCAATTTTATTACCTCACACCGCTCACGCATGCTCATGAAATTGGTTAACACAACTCAAGAACCGACTCAATCTCCAGGTAGGGGGTGTTCCGTAAACCGTCAACTTAAATACCCCCAGCCTTAGACAAGATTTTATCGGGTGAGTGTTCATGTTTTACCAATTTATGAGTAACGACCTAGTTTTTGCCTATGAAAACTTTTGATTGGCCATTTAACCCTAAATGAGCATGCATATTATCTTTATTATGGATTTTAATGTCTATCTCTTTTATAACACTTATAAACTATAGGCATGCTCCATAACCATATATTCAAATCATAATTTGAATCTATCATGCATACTATACATTATAACTACTTATAAGATATCTCATGCATGATACATGCTTAATCCTATGGTGGGATTTTAAATCTAAATGGCATACATTATGCACATTCAATATAAAACATTTAATTCATACATTCATAATGCATAATTAAATCAACAATTAAATTGGACCGGTTTTGGCATCCTTACAACTAAATTAAACTAAATTATTACAAAACAATTTTGTAGAAACTTGAACCGGCCTTGAACCTCTTCAAACCGGACCTCCAAGAACCCAAACCGGCTTGAAACAGCACGAACCGGACCAAAAAGGGAGGAAAACCGAACCGGGTCAAAAGCTTTGTCGCAGGCGGGTTTGAAGCTAAATTTCAGCCTTTATCTCTTTGAATTTGACCAATATTACAACCTAATTCCAACTCTAATGACTTCGAAAAAAAAATAATAACAAATAAAAGGACATAATTACAAGCCAAAATTAAGAGGATTGCCAAAACCGTAATATATCCAATTTAATTCAACCACAACATTCATCAAATGAATTTGTACCCACCATATGCAAATAAATGTTATTCTAGATTCTCTGATACCACATGATGGAGAAAATACATACATGCGCAGCGGAAGTGAGCAAGAATC